TTTTTTTTTTTTGCATTTGTCCTTCTTTGAAGAACTTACTCAGGAACTGTTGGCATTTTCTTTTTTACAGTTGGAAAATAATTGTGTGAATGCACTTTTGTCTTGAACTTCATTTTAATACTAATATGCTGATTTGGATTATAAGAAGAGAGATTAAGTATTGTATGAAAGAAATAGTATCTTCAAAATGAAACTTTGTTATCAATGACATTTAGGTACCGTTTTCTCCGACTTAAGTTTAGAAGTGTTCCCAAAGGTTCCATGGACTTGTCAACTGTTTAAAAGAATCAAAGTTTCTGGTGTCAGATAAGCTCAGCACTGGAGTTGATTAACTTCAGCCCAGCTTATTCCACTCCTTATCATTTACATTTTTAGGTTTACCTAAAGCATAACACTGGAAATTAATACATTATACCAGATATGGTATTCATTACATGAAAACAATGAAAGCTAGCAATAATTTAAATTTTGTTAGCTATTTCCTTTCTTTCCTTTTGTTAGCCATTTCCTTCCAACTTAAGGAAAGTTGGAATCATCTTATTTCCCTCATTAGATACTTTTATGCACTGGATATAGAAGAAAATTCTTTCAGAGGAAATGTAAAATAAAATTAATGAAAAGAACACTACTTACTTTATTCTAGACTATGTAGTCTCCTCATTTACTAAAGGAGTTTGTAATTTCTTGCTTAAAACACTTTGCTCTCCAAAGAAAGGTTATAAAAGAGGTAAGTTACTTTATTGTGAATTTATTAAGAATTGTCATTAATGACTTGCCAGAGCCGTCCCCCACTGTGCCATCTTGTGGAAGAGTCCTCGGGAGCTCAGCTGATGGCTCTGCTCTTGTCTCTGTGCTTTCATGTCTCCCTGTGTGCATCTTGATCCTGTAGGCTGACCATTTCAGCAGACGTGGCAAGACCCTTCCTCAGCAAGAATCCTTAGAGATCGAGCTGGCTGAGGAGAAGCCAGTTAAACGCTCCATCATCACAGTGGAGGAGCTAACGGAGATAGAGCGTTTGGAAGATCTGGACACTTGTATGGTAAGACACAGCCTTTGGTGGCGCCATCATCCCATTCACTGGACTGTGTTATTGTTTTNTCATCACAATTAATTTAAGAAGCACTGGTCTCTCGTTACTGGCACAGGAAAGAGCCACATCATGGTTCAGAGCTCCCAGTTCAGACTTTTCTTTTTTTAGATAAGCACCAACAAAATCAACAGTGCATCCTTTTTAGAAAAAGTTGATTGATAACCCACAGCTCCAGAAACTGCCTCAAAGTGCTCACTTGAAGACACACACACAGGATATTATTTCAAACATGACTCTACGTATGAGAACTACACTGAAAATTTGAATTTTTTTTTTTTTGCATTTGTCCTTCTTTGAAGAACTTACTCAGGAACTGTTGGCATTTTCTTTTTACAGTTGGAAAATAATTGTGTGAATGCACTTTTGTCTTGA